ATGTAGATGGGTTTGTTGTTGTTGTTGTTGTTGTTTTAAAATAATGTATTAATTTACATACTTGTTTTAGAAAGGTTTTAAGACATATTTTCAGTAATGTTAAAATTTTTATTATTATTTTTTGGATGTGCTATGGTTTACATTATTAAAACTATTTATGTGTTTGTTTGTTTGTTGTGTATTGAAAAAAACAAAAATAAAAAAATAAAAATAAAAAATAAAAATAAAAAAATAAAAAAAATTTTTTTTTAAAAAATTATTAGATTTTTAAAAATAAATATTATTTTAAAAATTTAAAATGGCTATGATAACGTGTTGATATTTACTAAAAATTGGGGGGTATACTTTTGGAAGAATGACAGACAACACCTAAAGACAGCTTATAATGAATATGAAATAAGTAAACAATTAAATCAGATATTCTTCCCCCTACTGGGATATATACACAAATATTTAAAGGAGCAACTTTACAGAGTTACAGATCGATATGATTACTATTAAATTATTTATACTATATGAATATCTTCGGCCTTTGATTTGGCTAATTTAAAACCAATAAAAAAATAATAAAAATAAAAAAATAAAATATGAAAATAAAAGTTTTTTAAAAATATGTTATAAATGTTAAATCTTTATTTTTTATTAATTAATATTTAATCTATAATTATAAAACTAACTCTTTATGAAATATAGAAATGAATTGATAATAATTAAATTGTACTAAATATACTTTTTTATCTGTTATTTGTAAATTTAATTATGGTGAAGTAATATATGACTTGAGAATACTTGGGAAATCTTTTGATGGGTTCAACAATTTGGGCTGAATGAGTATTTGGTGATTATAAAAATAAAATTAATGGCTCGTCTTTTAAGTTATACTTTAATTAAAATTTGTTGTTTGCTTAATCTGTGGTACTTGCACTATAACCAGAATATCTTCTGAAGTATTCAATGAAATGATTGGTGAATTATTATTTGTAATGTTGTTTGCTTATCATCTTGATCTACTTTAACAACAGAAGCAAGTATTCGATAACTTTTCAGTTGAAATATAATTGCATTCTATTGTTTTAGTATTTGAATCAATTGATGATAAATTATTTTTTGATTAATCGTCTGTTGAATGATCGATTATAATTTGAATCATTCATTTTTAAATTTTTTTATTTTTGAATTTACAAGTTCTGTACTCCAGAAGATGGTTTGGCAAGTGAATTTGGTAGAACTAAAGAGATATATTTATATCTCCAAGCTGGTAATGGTGGTAAATGTGGTGGAGGTACCAATGGTGAGGTGTTGTTATTTTTATAAAATGTTGATGGTGATGTTGAATTATTTGATGATGATGAAGATGGTAGTTTACTAGTTGAAGATTTATTTGAATTGTTTGATTCTAATTTAGCACTACTACTATTACTACTACCACATCTAAAAAATCTTGCAATACGAGCACCCAACTTTTCAGATTTTTTTGATTTAACTCCTTCGAGCTCATTTTTAATACCTTCATTTAGTATTGTTTGGTTTTGACGATTAATTGGTATTTTAGATTGACTCTCTTGATTACTTGATATATTATTTTCTAAACCAAAAATATGATGGCCTCTGAGGGAGTGTAATTTTTTTAATCCTTCAATTTCAGAATTGAGTTGAGTATTTTCATTATCTAATTGAATTTTTAATGTGGTCATTTGGTCGAGTTTTGTTTGGATTATTTTTTTCTCTTCATCATTTCCATCTGGTTTATTGGAACTTTTCAAACGGTCTGTAAGTTTAGCATTACGAGCTTGATATTCTTCTAATATAAATTCTAAATCAATAACCTCTTTACATTTATTCTCGAGATCTCTTAAGAGTGATTCTTTGACTGTACTATTATATCTTTGACCTTCTTTTAATTTTTTTATTTCTAAATCTTTTTCTATTTCTAAATTCTCCTTTGCAATTTTATAGCATTTAAATTCATATTCAATCTCTTTGATTTTATCTTTAAGTGCTTGATTTTCGGTTTCTAAAACTTTTTGATTGCATTGAGCTGTATTAGCACTATTACCATTTATTTCTTCTAAAGCAATCAAAGAGATGATTGGCGAGCTATTTTTTGTAGTTTCGGTTGTTGTTGCTGTCTTATCATCAAGATTAACTTTATTAACGGAGGAAAGCATATTTTTATATACATCATTTGATTTTACCTCTAACTCTTGTGATGAGGATAAAATAGATGCATTCTAATTGTAAAAAGGTAAATATTAGAATTTAAATATTTAATTTTTTATTTCTATAGTTACTACTTACAGATGTTAAGAATGATACTAAAAAGGTTTCAACAGGAATTAATTCTTTTTTTAATACACAATCATGGACAAATTCTTTAACCAAAATTGGGATACCCAAAGAAAGAGCTTGTTCAACTTTTTGGGTCTTCTCTAAATAGCCTTCTTTAGTGGTGATTAAATGTGTGGCCTTTAATAATAATTAGTATTATTTTTAAATTTTAATTTTAATTAAACAAGTTATATTATTACCTTTGTGCATGAGTAGCAGCTTTTGCCTCCATTCTTTTTAATAATTTTAATTAACTGATTTTTTCTTTTGAGGTTAATGGTTTTGTCAAAAACAAAAGCGCAGTTTTCGAAAATATTTGAGTTTATTTGATTTTCTTCTTGATGAATTTCTGTTGAGCTCGATAGATCTTGATTATTATTATTATTATTGGAGTTGTACATTTTTTTATTGGATACTATAATAGAAAAGATTTTTGAAAGGAAATATAGGAATGTTTCAATGATAAAGGGTTATAAAAAAATAATCTTTAAAAAAATATTATGTGATTATAATTTTGAAAGCTATTATTTTTAATGAATTAAAAAAAAAAAAATATAATTTATAAAAAATAAAAAATATAATTTATAAAAAATAAAAAATTAGAACTGTTTAAAATATTTTTTTTTTTTTTTTAAATTAAAGAATGTTAAAAGTTGTATTTCATTTTTCTTTATATTTATTTAAAATTGAACACTTTAATTAAAACTAATATTTTAAATAAAAATTTTATTGAATTCTCTAAAGAATGATATATTAAACACCAAAGTAACTTTTTCATTTCTAAAAAATATTTAATAATATTAATAATAAAAATAAAAAATAAAAAAATAAATTGTAATAATTAATAAAAAAAATACAATATAGATTGATAATTAAAAAATATGTTATTGTATGTTAAAATTTTGATTAAAATAATTATTACAATGAAAATTTTTATTAATTTAAAAAAAGGGAATTTTTTAATTTTTAATAAATATGTGTATTTTAAATAAATTTGAATAGAAATAAAAAAATAAAGTAGATTTTGAATCTTCAGGTTTTTCATACTAAAAATTCTTTGATGCTCATTTAAATATAATTAATGTAGAGAACTTTTAGAACAATTAGAATTAGCTCAAGAAGGTCTTCAATCCGAAAATTACAATATTAAATCAGAGATTACAATTATTCAAGATAAATTCAGTAGTAAAAAATCTTTCCACACTGTTCATGATACTTCAAAAGAAATCAATGGTGATAGAATCAAAGAGATTTTTAAAAAACTTTTATTTTCATATTTTATTTTATTATTTTTATTATTTTTTTATTGGTTTTAAATTAGCCAAATCAAAGATATTCATATAGTTTAAATAATTTAATAGTAATCATATCGATCTTTAACTCTGTAAAGTTGCTCCTTTAAATATTTGTGTATATATCCCAGTAGGGGGAAGAATAAAATAAAATATGAAAATAAAAGTTTTTTAAAAATATGTTATAAATGTTAAATCTTTATTTTTTATTAATTAATATTTAATCTATAATTATAAAACTAACTCTTTATGAAATATAGAAATGAATTGATAATAATTAAATTGTACTAAATATACTTTTTTATCTGTTATTTGTAAATTTAATTATGGTGAAGTAATATATGACTTGAGAATACTTGGGAAATCTTTTGATGGGTTCAACAATTTGGGTTGAATGAGTTTCAGGTATTAGTACTTTATATTCTCTTCATAATTGATGCACTAGATAATACCAGGTGAGGACTGCTAGTTCTTATATTCATCTAAAAGGTTTTAATGTTATACCATAGTTGCTTGGCCAGAACAAAGTTGGTATATTCAATGTCGATTAGATTGAAAAGCATCATTATTTAAAAAGTAAAGATTGATTATAAATTTTCTTGAAATAATTTTGATTATTTGAATTATAATATGAAACGATTTAATTGTTAATTTAATCGCCATCTATTTCATGATCTGGTAATATTACCCTCTCTATAATTAAATAATGAATAAATTAATATATGTTTTATTTTTAATGTATATATTTGAATGTATGAATTACTTACTTGAACATAATAAAATATTACAATAGTGATATTGTGCACTTGAGTATAGTAGTACATACAGAATGAATAATGTTTATAGTTGTGGGTGTTGTTGTGACTGTGTATTGAATGTAGCAGAATGAATATAATTGATTGGTGACTCCTGTTTCTGTGGTGGTTGATACTGATGCGGTAGCATTAAAAACTGGTGATTTTAACTATAGCTAGTGTTGATTCAACTTTGTCGGAGGCAGCTGTGTTTGTTGGTTTAGAACTATTTGATACTAGTGATTCCTTTTCTTCAAAAAATTGATTTCTTTTCATTTTCACTAATTTTGAATTGTTTTTTAATATCTTGTTTTGGTAGTTCACTAAGTTCTTCATCTTCTAATTTTCTTTTAGCTCCTGTTGATACAACTTTAACTGATGCAGCTGTGTTGGTTGGTTTTGAACCATTTGATACTGGTGATTTCTTATCTTCAACAATTGGTTTCTTTTCAGTTTCACTAATTTTAATTTGTTTTTTAATATCTTGTTTTGGTAGTTCACTTACTACATCTTCTAATTTTCTCTTTAGACCTACTGTATTTTTTGGGATAACTGAATTTGTGTTGATGGATCTTTCAGTATCTCTCTTGGTATAGAATAACATATAGGCCTTTGAACGTAAAACAGTTTGTAAACTAACTTGTGAAACCATTGAATCATCCATTTTATACCAAACACCATTTGAACCTTTAACATAGCAGTAATAATGACCTGAATTTGTGCTATCACCTAAATGAACCAATACTGAATTTAAATCATAGATTGAATGATCCTAAAATTTTGTAAAAAAAAATATATTAGTATTATTTATAACTATTGATATTAAATTATTTAATTATATAATTACATTTGTTTGGGTCATATATGGTGAAAGGTCTAAAGTTTGACAAAATTGAATATGCTTATTATCTTTACCACCATATGAATTCAAAAATGAGAAACGTTTAATTTGAACTGTTAAAACTGGAGGTGAGATTTCAATTTGTAAACTTTTTTCTGCTTTAACCAACTTTTTACATTTTTTACATTTATAGCCATTTTCGCCATCAAGGATTTCTGGTTTTACAAAATTTTGAAGTCCTTTAGTTAAGGAGTTTGCTTGGTTGATTTCGACACATAAATCCATAAATTCGTCGAATGTATTTGATTCATATTGGCAAACTGTACATTTAACTTGACTTCTAAGATAACCACCAAATATTGAACCAATTACGGTTGTCATTGAATCACGTGGACTTATTGAACCTTTTGGAAATTTAGCAAGACAAACCTTTTGAAGAGAATCAATTACGAAACAAAAAAATTCGTGGGAATCTTCTTGACGACCAATTCTAAATGTTGGTGCAACCTTTTCTATATTTTTAGCAATTACCAATGGAGTTATAGATTTACCAGTAGCTTGGTGACTGGCAATAATGTGAATTTCTAAAGAACAGAAAACACAAAAACTTTTATTGGTACAATTTTTGCTATGTTCACCAGAGATCATATAATTTGCTAAAGCTGATGAATATGTAAGGCATTGGAGAACAGAGTTCATAAAACATGTATTACCAATATTATATAAACCTGCTCCAATATTTGCAATTGATTTCCATTTCATTAGTGGGTGGAGCTCTTCTGGTTTGAAAATTACTTTTTTTGGTTTTGCTAAAGCATTTTCCATCCTCTTGATCCAACTCTGTGTTT